CATTGGGCTTAATAGTTGAGACCTGACCATTTTTTGGCAGTGACCATTTATTACTTCTCTTGTAGTCTAGAGAAATATTATGTTGGACGTCAGATGAAACCGCGATATTCAGACTGAATATCTCGTCGTCGTCGAAATGTGTTGTTATGGTAATATAGCGGTCCAAAAACATGTATCAATATGGGAACTTGAGGGTGCGAGGCCATAGAAGGCATGTGAAGTACTATCTTTTCTATTATCTCGGACTGCTGATGAGCTGTCAAGCCGCTACTTTTGCATTCTGATTGATTCTGTCTTCTGGAAGAGATATGGTGTTATAAAAAATGTGATCTGTTATTTAGGAAATTGTTGATATTCGTGAAAAATTCCAAACAAGCAAATTAGAGAAATCGACATTACATCCTGTTGCGTCAACATCACTTCCATTGGTAATAGAAAATGCCCATATTACCTTTTGGGCTTACCAGCTCCTTTGTTTTATCTAGAGTAAAAATGTTTTCAAATTATCCAAATATATCAGGCATTGAAGTTTGGAAGTGTATCAGTAGAAATAGTTTAATGAACACACTTAAAATATAGCACAGCAACGGATAGAATAATAACCGTAGTACGTAAAGGAATATGTTCAGCACAAACTAGACCCCTCTGAAGAAAAGTCAGTCAAACAGGTCTACGCAATTAGTACATAGACATTATTTATTATCGGTCATACGTCGCCCCGTGGACGTGGTGGTGCGGCCAGAACATAGAGGACGCTAAGCCGTTGCTTGGCAGAAATACGTGTGATTCCATAACGTAACCGATATTCAAAAACCACAAAGCTTTTTCGGCCTTGACATAGTAGTAATCGCGAGTGAAAATTTCATCAAAATCAAACCGGTACATTCCAAGTTACAGACGGGCCGAGGATTAGCGGACAAATAGACAGGCAGACGGAAATGAGTGACATGGGCCTTCGTGATGTCAAACATCATACACGTCATATAATATCCAAAAAAACATCTTATTTTGAAATTTATCGCTATTACAATACTTCGTTACTGATTGAGCTTGACATGTTATCGTTTACATGTTTTCGGTCTCACTTATTGGTTCCCTAGAAACACAAACAATCCATTAATAATAATTTTAGTTTAGGCAGGGAGTAAAGGTTTAAATAAGTAACTGACTTACTTTGGTCAGAATGATGAATTTATCAGTAACAAATAATTAGTTTTTGGGAAAGATGCTTCAATTATTATCCATGTAAAAAATAATTTTATCACGTCTCTTTTCCTCTGTTTATTCACAGCAGCTCTTTTTTCTCTCGATTTAGTTCTGCCCCATACTTGTCTTGAATACGCTGTATGCATCTAATCTACTTCAACATTCGATATTACTTTTGGTAGCTGTGTTGTTTCTTTCAAGTAGCCATCAAATCCACCCTAGTACTTAGCTAATCGATAAACATTTTTCAAAAGGTGCTTCTCCTCAGCAAGAATATTTTTTACGATTTTGCGATTGCTTTATGACTTCGAAGTTGAGTCATTTATTTTAGCAGTGAGTAGATCTGATCAAAAGAAATGTTTTTTTCCTTTACCATTTTTCTGGTAAAATTAAAGTAACAAAGTTATAGCCCTTTGGAAGTTTGAGTACCGCCCTGTCTAAATAATAATATCATGTGCTCGTGTTTGGCAACAACGGATATAATCCGCCTTATCGGTTCATCGCATCGGAAACAAAAAAGCGAAAGAATTTGGAACGATGTTTTTACAATTATTTTATTCAGTTGTATACATACAGTCAGTGTCAGTCGGTAACGCGTGTGAATAGTGGTGTCTGTTGCGTGGCTCAAACGAAATAAAAAATGGCACATGCGGATCGGTTTCCCAATCGAGTGCAACCAACCCCTCGTGCCTTTGTTAATGTAGTACAACGGGCTCGTGAATCAGGTGACTTAAGACCTCACAGGGGACCTCACGATCAAATACAGGTCCGCACTGAAATACTTGTCGGGAGGATACTTTAAAAACAAGGTAAACATTTTTTTTTAATTTTTTTTTATTTTTACACACATATTTTGGTTTATCTTCCTTCTACAATCATTATCTGAAAATTAATGACTCAACTTCAAAGTCACCCTGTATAGATGGACTAATACTCCACAGTGCTCTCAGCACTCCACAATGGGACTATTTAAACCTGACCGAAATCCACTCAGGCTTCTCCAGGGCCATTGAGATCCAAAGTCGCTACCCGATACAGGTAGGGTAAATTCCAAACAAGAACAGCAAGCAAGGGCAACAAGTGGCTGACAAACTTTACAGTAGATATCTTGCTATATCATTGAACTGTATTGATGTAAATGTCCAAAACTTTGGGATAGTTATTTCGTTAGCTCATGTTTGAAGCGCCAAAATAAAAAGATCGTGATGTAAATCTTTAAATTATATATCCAACCTTCTTGTTTGTAATATCAGGTCAGCTATAAATGTAGTTGATAATTATGTTCTTATTTTTAGTTTGTTCATCTCTTTCATGTACCTATATTATCTATACTAAGTGACATATAAATCCGAACACCCAATTTAAATGGTTTTATTTTAATAAAAGTTGGTGAATGTATTTATCTTACTGTAAATAACAAGTGAAAAAATTTTCAGCCTTATCAGTTGGACATTCCGGTTTTTATACTGCTTTTTTTAATTCACTAACGCTCTAAAAATGAATATTTCAGCCGCAGTAAAGAATCAACGTTGGCGGATTTTGGTTCTTGACATCCTTTACGATTGGTTACGATGCCTAGAGTACGGAGACCTGTACGATTTCGTCAACTTAGTGAGTTTGATAGGGGCCGTATAGTGGGACTTCGGGAAGCTGGACTTTCTTTTCGGGCAATTGCAGTTAGAGTGCAAAGAAGTGTAGACACTGTGGTTAGGTGTTGTCAGGCATGGCTTCGAGAAGGCCGTACGTAAAGAGCAAGGGGCACTGGACGCCGCCGTAGAACAACAGACCGTGAAGATCGCCGCCTAAGATTATTGGCCTTAAGGGACCGTTTCTCCACTACCAGGTCCATTGCAAATGAATGGTTTGCAGAACACGGAAGACCTATTGGCATGCGAAGTGTTTACCGACGAATGAGAAGTTTTGGCTTGTTTTCATACCGGCCACACTGGATCCTCCCTTTAACTCGAGAACAAAGACGTAATCGCCTTGAGTGGTGCAGACAACGGTCACTCTGGGATCAGGAATGGAACAGTATTGTCTTTAGTGACGAGTCTCGATTTTGTTTAGGCATGCACGATGGTCATGCCAGGGTTAGAAGGCGACGTGGTGAAAGGAGGAATCCACAGTTTTTTTGTTGAAAGACATGTTCATCATACTGTTGGAGTTATGGTTTGGGGTGCTATAGCTTATGGTTCCAGGTCACCTTTAATCTTCATCAGAGGTAACATGAACGCGCAGCGTTATATCCACGAAGTTATAGAACCCCATCTTTTACCCTATCTTGACACCCTGGCAGATCCAACTTTCCAACAAGATAATGCCCGGCCACATGTTGCAAGAGTCACAATAGACTTCTTTCAACATAATGATGTCACATTGTTACCATGGCCACCAAGATCTCCCGAGTTATCCCCAATTGAGCACGTGCGGGATATGATGGGTAGGAGATTGCTCAATTCGCAACGTCCTCCTCAGACTCTAGAAGCACTTCGAGAGGAGTTGGTGGTTGCCTGGATTGAGATACCACAGGAGGACATTGACCACCTGATCAGAAGCATGCCTAGGCGCGTTGGAGAATGCGTAGCACATCAGGGTGCATCCACACATTATTAAAGGTCAAAGGGCTTTAAAGCAGTGCAATCATTTTGAAATTTTTATCATTTTCTTATTATGCTTCATTAAGTACTTATACAAAATTTTATTAAAATAAAACCATTTAAACTGGGTGTTCGGATTTATATGTCACTAAGTATATATGATATACAGGGTTTTACTTAATTATAGGCCGTAATCATAACGGCGTATTCCTGAGCCAAATTCGATTAGAAAAGTTCTTATAAACACGTCCTAAAAAGGCTGGTTTCCAAGATTCAGGGTTTCAAAGATTAAAAAAAGAATATAGCTTTCGACAGAGAAAAAATACAAGTTCTGTCGCAAAGTAAGCAGGACTTTTGCAAGATATTCGGAACAAGTAGCGCCATCTATTATAGGAGACTAGCGTTGGATAGGTACATCTTTCATTGATGCCTTGTAAAAATTTCATGACAATCATTCGATAACCTTTTGAACCGTGCAAATCGCTGTATTAACTCTGAAGGAGACTATTTTGAATAAAATAAATTCGATTTTCAGAAACAAAAAATGTTTGTTAATCTTTTTCCTTTTTCCTGTTTTATTGCGACAGACCTTGTAATAACAAATTGCCACTGAAAGAAAAAAATATATTCACTATATCAACACAGCATTCATTAGCAACGATCGAAGTTTGTTTGGACTTATTTTAATAATTTTCCGACATGCAATGAAGTTGTTTTTATTTTCTTCCCCGCAAACGAAAAGTTATACCATTAGCTGATTAATCCAAGAAATATATTTATACTTCTCAAAAAAGTCAGCGGCGTATATTTTTTTGTCAACATCAAAGACGCTACTGGAGCTCATAGTTATCTTTTAGTTATCCTAAGTTTACATCTTATTGAAGTGAACTGTCTGCCAAAATTCAACATAATCGCAAACAAGGGTATTTTTAAACTTTGACACGCTGTATCCAGAAAACCATACTTTTTAGGATACATATTTATGTGAACTTTTCAACTTGAACTAGTTTCAGAAAAGCAACAAAGGCTATGCACTTGAATACACTCAAAATGGCTACCTTCACAAAAAAAGTTTTATCTCGACATTATACGAATCTTTCCAAAAAAATCTAGAGATGAAAAGTCCCTGAACATACCAAAGTTACCACTTATATCGTTTTTGTCTGGTCCATTAAACGAGTTTCGTGATTTCCTTACCTGTATTCCTAGGATATAAACTACACGGCAAAATCTTGGAACATCGAAACGCTGCAAGTCCTCTGAAGGGCTGTAGAAGCAAACAGCATAAATTATGAGTAGACCTGCCACTTCGGTTTGACGTTGCATTCATCAACGGGCTCAAACGACGACCGTGTCTTGAGAGTCCCTCTGTCGATCCGTTGTCCACCGTCGACATCATTATTAATAACTGTCGATCGCTGGTCTTGTAACATTTATTTTATATCTTTTTCACCGGCGCTGGCTTGAGGGAAATGAATGGATAAGTCTGAAAGGGAATTTGTACACGGGCTCATCATCAACATACGACGTACGTTGTAGACGGATACCTGCCCTATTGACGCTAAGATAAACGATAAAATCAACCAGTGGAACAAATAGTTAATCTAAACTACAACACATTGATCTTAGATAAATCAGAGGTTGATCTTGTTAGCTGCTTAATTTCTAAGAAACAGTGCTGAGTGCTTGTCGCACATAAGCTTTTGAACTGTAAGCATTAAAGTCTCTGTACTTGTGTCGAATAAGATCCAAACTGGAATACGCCTCACTCATATGCCAGTGCATCGTCGCTGTTGAAAAAATCCAAAACAAATATTTGAAATTCAAGGCTTTCAAAATCGATGGTGTGTACCCACCTAAAGTTTATAGTTATGCTGAGCTACTAGATAGATTTGATAATGAGTCTTTGGCAAAGCATAAGCTTTTGAATGGGGAAAAATGAGTGTCCTATATTCTCAGCTCATTTTAATATCTTCGTGTGCAAAAGGGCCCACGCTAACTTACTATCGATGGATTCAATTTATTTTATATGCGAAAATACCAACAAAATTGCATGTGCATGTGAAATTTTTCACTGCTGTTTTTGTGAATCAGAGAATAAATCTGGAGCACTTTTCTGCTGGATTTTGGCCAAGCTTTTTATGCTTATATTTATGGTACTTCTATACTAAGTGACATATAAATCCGAACACCCAGTTTAAATGGTTTTACTTTAATAAAATTTTGTATAAGTACTTAATGAAGCATAATAAGTAAATGATAAAAATTTCAAAATGATTGCACTGCTTTAACGCCCTTTGATCTTTAAAAATGTGTGGATGCACCCTGATGTGCTACGCATTCTCCAACGCGCCTAGGCATGCTTCTGATCAGGTGGTCAATGTCCTCCTGTGGTATCCCATTCCAGGCAACCATCAACTCCTCTCGAAGTGTTTCTAGAGTCTGAGGAGGACATTGCAAATTGAGCAATCTCCTACCCATCATATCCCACACGTGCTCAATTGGGGATAAGTAGGGAGATCTTGGTGGCCATGGTAACAATGTGACACCATTATGTTGAAAGAAGTCTATTGTGACTCTTGCAACATGTGGTCGGGCATTATCTTGTTGGAAAGTTGGATCTGCCAGGGTGTCAAGATAGGGTAAAAGATGGGGTTCTAGAACTTCGTGGATATAACGCTGCGCGTTCATGTTACCTCTGATTAAGATTAAAGGTGACTTGAAACCATAAGTTATAGCACCCCAAACCATAACTCCAACAGTGTGATGAACATGTCTTTCAACAAAAAACTGTGGATTCCTCCTTTCACCACGTCGCCTTCTAACCCTGGCACGACCATCGTGCATGCCTAAACAAAATCGAGACTCGTCACTAAAGACAATACTGTTCCATTCCTGGTCCCAGAGTGACCGTTGTCTGCACCACTCAAGGCGATTACGTCGGTGTTCTCGAGTTAAAGGGAGGACCCAGTGTGGCCGGTATGAAAACAAGTCAAAACTTCTCATTCGTCGGTAAACACTTCGCATGCCAATAGGTCTTCCATGTTCTGCAAACCATTCATTTGCAATGGACCTGGTAGTGGAGAAACGGTCCCTTAAGGCCAATAATCTTAGGCGGCGATCTTCACGGTCTGTTGTTCTACGGCGGCGTCCAGTGCCCTTGCTCTTTGCGTACGGCCTTCTCGAAGCCATGCCTGACAACACCTAACCACAGTGTCTACACTTCTTTGCACTCCTGCAATTGCCCGAAAAGAAAGTCCAGCTTCCCGAAGTCCCACTATAGGCCCCTATCAAACTCACTAAGTTGACGAAATCGTACAGGTCTCCGTACTCTAGGCATCGTAACCGATCGTAAAGGATGTCAAGAACCAAAATCCGCCAACGTTGATTCTTTACTGCGGCTGAAATATTCATTTTTAGAGCGTTAGTGAATTAAAAAAAAGCAGTATAAAAACCGGAATGTCCAACTGATAAGGCTGAAAATTTTTTCACTTGTAAGATAAATACATTCACCAACTTTTATTAAAATAAAACCATTTAAACTGGGTGTTAGGATTTATATGTCACTTAGTATATTTCTGTTTTTTTTTTGTTCTGAAATATTTACATTTTGTACTATCATGTAATAATCTATACTACCCTTTTTGCTCTATGTATGATATTCACTGTTGGGCAATAAGCAACCTATTAATATTATTTTTATAAGAAGTCCTAACATATTGGAACATGTTAGCTACCCTCGGTGTAACTTCCCATAGATATCTGATTTTCAGTCATAAGTGCTAAATTTGGGTATACTTACGTATTTATCTAAATGGTCAGAAATAATGTCGAACCTATTAGCAAACCATTAAGAAGTGCCATTATAATATCATTTTACTTCCTTCGCCACTGGCGAGGAAGCATTGTATTCACGAAAATTTTCGAACATGAGATATTGTTTTTGTATGATGTCACGAAAAACCTGTGTATAACTTTCAAAATACTGCTCCGATATTGATACTACTATACCAAAGACGAGGTCCAATAGAGAGGGAGCTCAGAGCAAAAAACGAATAAATAAAAATCACTCAAACTTCATTTTTTGACGTTTCGGAGGCTCCTGGGGGGCAGAAAAATTGAGGGCGGTGTTGGAAATCGCAAGTTGCTGGGGTTGGGGCTTCCGCTTCGTATATCTCAATTTGTTAGGCATCTATCAGATATATTTCACACATCATTCCAGTATCTATCGCTTCAGAGTTGGTGAGGTATGTGGGAAGAGGCGATGTTGCCAGATGGACGGTATTGACCTTACAATCCCTGAGGGAGGGAAAATATGTCTATGGACTAATTGTATGGGCCTGTTTAACTGACCTATTTTATTTCTCTGCTTTACATGTTCGTAGCTAACTTTTTTCTCAGTGCCTCTGCCTACTTTATTTATCTATAAGTCTGCATACTATGCTTTTAAGTTACTTTACGACAACGCATGGTAATGTACAAAAAGTACTTGTGACCTATTGCCATACGACGACGCTTGTTGTGGCATATCTAACTTATTCATGTATATATTGTCACTTTAAGTTCGCGATATTAAACGCGTATCGATGTTATCAGTAATTCCGTATTAGATTATTCTGAACAGTCCAGGCGACCAACATATAAGCTTTATATGTTCGTTGACCTCTTTGTTGCGCCTAAAGGTCATGATTAGAATTTATAGTCCATAAATTACCTGGCAGCAATCAAACACTGTAATAATTTTTGTCATAATGCTTTTGTTCGCAAGAATAATGAGATTATATGCACGACCTGCACAAGTCTGAAGAAAAACACATTTCGTTCATATTTCATCTGAACACACATTTTTTTGGAAAACAGTGAAATAAAACACCTGACAAAACATCAAGAGCTGATTCTTTAGATGATTCTAACAAGAAAAATATGTTTGAATATATACTAAGTGACATATAAATCCGAACACCCAGTTTAAATGGTTTTATTTTAATAAAAGTTGGTGAATGTATTTATCTTACTGTAAATAACAAGTGAAAAAATTTTCAGCCTTATCAGTTGGACATTCCGGTTTTTATACTGCTTTTTTTAATTCACTAACGCTCTAAAAATGAATATTTCAGCCGCAGTAAAGAATCAACGTTGGCGGATTTTGGTTCTTGACATCCTCTACGATCGGTTACGATGCCTAGAGTACGGAGACCTGTACGATTTCGTCAACTTAGTGAGTTTGATAGGGGCCGTATAGTGGCACTTCGGGAAGCTGGACTTTCTTTTCGGGCAATTGCAGTTAGAGTGCAAAGAAGTGTAGACACTGTGGTTAGGTGTTGTCAGGCATGGCTTCGAGAAGGCCGTACGCAAAGAGCAAGGGGCACTAGACGCCGCCGTAGAACAACAGACCGTGAAGATCGCCGCCTAAGATTATTGGCCTTAAGGGACCGTTTCTCCATTACCAGGTCCATTGCAAATGAATGGTTTGCAGAACACGGAAGACCTATTGGCATGCGAAGTGTTTACCGACGAATGAGAAGTTTTGGCTTGTTTTCATACCGGCCACACTGGGTCCTCCCTTTAACTCGAGAACACCGACGTAATCGCCTTGAGTGGTGCAGACAACGGTCACTCTGGGATCATGAATGGAACACTATTGTCTTTAGTGACGAGTCTCGATTTTGTTTAGGCATGCACGATGGTCGTGCCAGGGTTAGAAGGCGACGTGGTGAAAGGAGGAATCCACAGTTTTTTGTTGAAAGACATGTTCATCACACTGTTGGAGTTATGGTTTGGGGTGCTATAGCTTATGGTTCCAGGTCACCTTTAATCTTCATCAGAGGTAACATGAATGCGCAGCGTTATATCCACGAAGTTCTAGAACCCTATCTTGACACCCTGACAGATCCAACTTTCCAACAAGATAATGCCCGACCACATGTTGCAAGAGTCACAATAGACTTCTTTCAACATAATGATGTCACATTGTTACCATGGCCACCAAGATCTCCCGACTTATCCCCAATTGAGCGCGTGTGGGATATGATGGGTAGGAGATTGCTCAATTTTCAACGTCCTCCTCAGACTCTAGAAGCACTTCGAGAGGAGTTGGTGGTTGCCTGAAATGAGATACCACAGCATGACATTGACCACCTGATCAGAAGCATGCCTAGGCACGTTGGAGAATGCGTAGCACATCAGGGTGCATCCACACATTATTAAAGGTCAAAGGGCTTTAAAGCAGTGCAATCATTTTGAAATTTTTATCATTTACTTATTATGCTTCATTGAGTACTTATACAAAATTCTATTAAAATAATACCATTTAAACTGGGTGTTCGGATTTATATGTCACTTAGTATAGATTCGTTTTCAACAGATAGTTGGATGGAAAACGAAAATCTACTTTAAATA